GCTGGTGATGCGGCTCAAGAGGCCAGCAAGGAGGGCTGATCTGGCGTGCACAGATACCGCATCTCATGCAGTTCTACGCCCATATTTTTGAGAATCTTTACTTAGGGGCTCCTTCAGCGGCAGTGACGGCGACGTTTAAGTTCCCCCATGCAGCCCGCAACACAACACAGCCGCCGTCCCCAGCTGTGCACTGGCAGTGTAACAGCGGAGTGGCTTCAGCAGGACCTCTCTCAGGCTTTCAACCAATCGCCCAGCAACAATCATGAGAGCTCTTAATGTGTTCGGTGCCCCCCCGAGTGCCCACGCAAAGGGAACCAACACCCGTGGTCACTCGGAGAACACCCGGGAGTTGGTTATCCTAGATGCTCTCACAGGCGAGACCTTTCGCTTCCCCTGGCCTCTCAGCTCCTCTGCAGGCACAGGCTGGAAGAAGCAACAACGGGAGCAGGCCGCCCCCACCGAGTTGCCAGTGGCGAGCTTCTGGATAAACCTAGAGCACTACGTGCACCAGCTCCTTCCCACTCTTCCTTGCCTTGCAGATGAGACAGGCGCTGCAAGGAGGAATGGTAATGAAGCTGAGGCACAACGTAAGGGCCCAACCATATCCAAGGAGCGCCAACGGTGTCTCTGCTTCGTAGAGGCCACAGGCAGGAGCCTTGCAGCAGAAGCAGCAGCTGCAGCAGCACTGCAGGAGGGCAGCAGAAGCAGCAGGAGCTACGAAAACAGCCTTGCTCAATCAAATGGGCCTCTATCACTCATTCTTCTTCGCCCAGAGCTGCTTGCGTGCTTGAGGCATAGCAGCCGACGCGCACCCGCAGCAGCAGCAGCTGTTGCACCAAACCCGCCATCTCCTTCACATTCAATGGCTCCCAAGGTTTCATCGGCTGTGAAAGCAGCTAAGGAGCAGCAGAAAGGAAAGAGAGATCACGATATTTTCGGCGACTCTCCGCCGATAGCCGGGGGAGGCGGCTCTACGACTTGCAGAGAGGCGTTTGCTGCTGTTGCTGCTGCTCCTGCTGCTGGGGACAGCGGGAGTTTTGATGGCACTTGTGCATGCAGCAGCTCAGGTTGCTTTAGTTTTCCTTCAGCATCTGTGCAGCAGCGGCTGGTTAGCGGGGAGTTACGGGCTCTGCGTGCAGCCGCGCTATTGGATGGTGACGCTTCGTTTAAGGTGTTTGGCAACAATGTCGTTGCTGCAGCACCCTTGCTTTGTGCTTCTCGTGATGCAGCTGCTGTTGCAGCAGATCTCCACCTGCGGATGAGGCGCCAGCAGATAGCAGCAGAAGTCCTCGTACGTGCACTGCTGCGGCACGCAGAGTTGGCCTTGAAGTGGGTTGATGCTGTGAAGCTGCGGCTCCAGCAGCAGGCAAGGGCTCAGGAGGACGTTGTTGTGGGATTTGAGCAAGTGCTACTGAAGCTGCAACAAACGCCGCTCGACCCAATGTTGCTGCTGCTTCAGCAGCTCCAGCACGATGCTCCTGTGCAGCGGCAGCAGAAACAACCGACAAATGCCATCCCTGCTGCCCCTCAGACTGAGCTGAGCAGT